CATAATTCTTACTACTAGAAAAATTTAATATTCCTTTTAGTGGTCAATTAATTGCATAGTTGTTACTGATAGAAAATTTTGGTATTCCTTTTAGTTATAGACTTTATGATAGATGATACTTTGAATAGAAAATTAAGAAATAAAGATAAGAGAATGCTAAAAAGTCTTTATACTAGAAGACAAAAATTTAATATTCCATTTAGTGGTCAATTAATTGCGTAGTTGTTACTGATAGAAAATTTTGGTATTTCTTGTAGTCACAGACTTTATGATGGATGATACTTTGAATGAAAAATTAAGAAATAAAGATAAGAAAATGCTAAAAAGTCTTTATATTAGAAGACAAAAGTCTTCTTAGTGGAAGAAATTAAAGAGATTGTGATAGATTAATCCATTTTAGAGTGTGTTTGGTTAAAGAGGAAAGGATTTGAGATTCCAATCCAACTATATTCTTTAAATTAGCTAGCTACTTATTTCTAGTGTTGAAATTTCTAATTTAGACATGTATTGATCAACGACCAACTAATTGCGTAGTCCTTACTGCTAGAAAAATTTGGCAATCTTTTTAGCTATAAACATTGTGATGAATGACACTTTGAGTGGAAAATTAAGAAATAAAGGTAAGAGAATGCTAAAATGTTTTTATGCTAGAAGACAAAGGTCTTCTTAGTGGAAGAAATTAAAGAGATTGCAATAGATAAACCCATTTTAGAGTATGTTTTGTTAAAGACGAAAGGATTTGAGATTCCAATCCAACTATATTCTTTAAATTAACTAGCTACTTATTTCCAGCATTGCAATTTTTTTTTTTTGGACTTGTATTTATCAATGATCAACTAATTGCATAGTCCTTATTGCTAAAAAAATTAGACATTCCTTTCAATCACAGACTTTGTGATGAATAACAGTTTGAGTGGAAAATTAAGAAACAAAGATAAGAGAATACTAAAAGGTATTTATGCTAGACGACAAAGGTCTTCTTAATGGAAGAAATTAAAAAGATTATGATAGATAAACTCATTTTAGAGTATGTTTGGTTAAAGAGGAAAGGATTTGAGATTCCATTCCAACTATATTCTTTAATTTAGCTAGCTACTTATTTCCAGCATTTAAATTTATTTTCTAGACTAGTATTTATCAACAATCAACTAGATGCGTAGTTCTTACTGCTAGAAAAATTTGGCATTTCGTTCGGTCATAGACTTTGTGATGAATGACACTTTGAATGGAAAATTAAGAAATAAAAATAAGAGAATACTAAAGTATCTTTATGCTAGAAGACAAAGGTCTTCTTAGTGGAAGAAATTAAAGAGACCGCGATAGATAAACCCATTTTAGAGTATGTTTGGTTAAAGGGGAAAGAATTTGAGATTCCAATCCAACTATATTTTTTAAAATAGCTAGCTACTTATTTCTAGCATTAGAATTTCTTTTCTAGACTTGTATTTATTAACAATCAACTAACCGTGTAGTCCTTACTACTAGAAAAATTTGGCATTCTGTTCGGTCATAGACTTTGTGATAAATGATACTTTGAGTGGAAAATTAAGAAATAAAGATAAAAGAATTCTAAAATGTCTTGATGCTAAAAGACAAACATCTTCATGGTAGAAGAAATTAAAGAGACTGTGATTGATAAACCTCTTTTCGAGTATGTTTGGTTTAAGGGAAATAAAGGAAAATAGATTGGAGGGAAGAGATGAGTTTTTTAACTAATCAAATTATGACATTTTAATGTTACCATTTGATTAGACAAAAAATTCATCCCTTTCCTTCTTTTCCCTCAAACCAACCATATCCTTATTATCCTTATTAGTCTTTGGAATCTACAAAATTCAAGTTACTTCTATGTTTATAATCCTATAGATCAAGATCAACTAGAAGAAATTACTACATGAGTTTTTCATCTTCACCTTCGTACCCCTCAAAGAAATTAAAAAAAAAAAGAGGATAAAGATAAAGATAAACTACAGAGAAATGCAAATAAGGTCATTCATTTGAAAATTGATTACTGAAAGTAATATCAATTCTTGCTTTAAAATTTCTTCAAGACCTCCCAACAAAGACTCTTTTGTATTAATTGAATCATCATATATAAATTTTTTTAAAATAGTATTTGTCATGAACCTGCAACGAAAAAGATTTTACAATAAAAGGTAACAAATGATTAATTCTCAAAGAAGGCCACAAATTAAAAAAGGAACAAGATAGAACAGATTACACATTCAATATATACATACTAAGAAATGCACTCGTTATTTTTAGTGCATGATGGACCCTACAACATTAGATAACTCTCTCATTTACCAAACCCTTTCGAAACATCTTAAGATTCAAACTCAATTTAAATAAGCTCAAAACTCGAACTTAGTTTTGTAATCACTAGAGCATTCCCTAACTCTAAAAAATGCACCCTTATGCAAATCTCTCTTGCTAATCTTAAGCGATTCTTGAATTCCTTCACATACCATCTTAATTTGGGCTTTAATTGATGCAATTAGTTGTGTGAACCCCTCCAAGGCCCTCCCCACCACTTGCCTTTCTAACTTTTCCTCCCTCAATGATATGAAGTTCAAAGCTTTGGACCAGATGACATCCAAGCCCAATATCCACAAAAGTATGTCATGTATATACCACTTCTATTTACATGTAGACTATTGGTCCATGATTGAACAACATCATAGACTAGTTACGCTATTTTTTCTAAATTTTTTATTTTTCTTCACAATTCTGAGAAAAGCTTTTGTGGTCCAAAATCTTTATCCCAATAAACAATTGCACAAATAAAGTTTGGTTTAAAGTGACAATCAACAAATTCCTCAAATTTTTTTAGTTCATGCCATTGGGAATTATCTATCCCACACCGTTACCAGAAGAAACATAAAGAAAACTATTGCTTGCTATGAAGATTTACTTCTTCAAAACTACATTAAAAGAATTCTTGCTTTTAAACACCCGAAATATTTATCCTCCTTTGTGAGGTCAACAACTTTAAAGGCTTGAAATCATCATAATGTTCACAATAGGCATCAAACCCTTCAAGCTAATGTTTTTAATATTTCATTCAGACATTAAATTTTAAAAAATAAACAGTATGTAATTTTACATAATAAATGATTTAAATAATTTAAGTAGAATGAAATTATGATCCACTCACAAAGTAAACCTACTATTATTCTCTAGCTACTTCAAAGTTCCAAATTCAAGTTCCTCACAATTTGTTGTTTGTCCTAATCTGAAGATGAGTTTCAAAAGATTTAACTCTTAATACACACATGCAAAACTCTTAATATATGCACATAAAACTTTAATCTCAAAAGTAACATGTCATCCAGCTCAAGACTTTTCAACATATATTTAGATTCATCTTTTTCTACATAAAAAAATATACTAATCAACCTTTTTCTTACAAACATATGTCATGTAAACTAAATAGACTAATCTTAAGTGTATTTGATTCTAATTATAATTAAATTTGACAAGGGGTCCATGATTCTACAAAGCCATATAAATCCATGCATTACTAAAGTATATTTTAGTATTAAAAACCATGTTGGGTCATATCCAAAGCTAGAGGGCTATTACAATTTTTTTTTATTGTACG